AGCCAAATCCAAATCTGGTTTAACTAGGCCAGAAGTTAGCTTCAAGTCAAGCTGAACTAGACCTAGAACTAGAACTAGAACTAGAAGTAGACCTAGAACTAGAACTGGAACTAGATCTAGAACTAGAACTAGAACTAGATCTAGATCTAGAAACTCCAAACCGAACCTAATTCCATCTTCGTTTTCTTAGCCGTCTACAGCGTCCACGGCGTCTTAGCGTTTTCCAGAAAAAAAACTAACAAAAAAAGAAATTTGTGGGAGAGAATGAGACGAAAAAGCGACGCAAATTAGATGCAAATAGGAACGTAACGTAATTTTTGAAAGAAACTGACACAACGATTTCTTTCAGGAGATCCCACAGCAAAATGTCGACGATTTGTACACAAGAATCGAGAAATTGGGCGAGGGAAGCTATGCCACAGTGTACAAATGTGAATCCAAGTGAGTAGAGAGGATTTTTTTAAGCTTTCAGACGAGCTTTCAGACTTGACGGCGCACTCGTCGCACTTAAAGAGATCAAGTTGCAATTTCAAGAAGGCCTACCATTCACAGCAATAAGAGAGGTACGGTAGAAGGGAGGGGGTTATAGAATGCCAGCTATCCAGAGCTACGATCTGGAGATTGTAGCTCTGGATAGCTGAGACTAGGCCAGAGCAGTAAGAACAGGATCTAACTGGAACACAGAACAGTTGTAGACAAAGTAGACAGGATCTTGCTGGAACACAGAACAGTTGTAGACGAGTTTGTCGACACAGAATAGTTGTAGACGAGTTTGTAGACACAGAACAGTTTGTTTTACAAAGTAATCAAAGCTCTATAAAAGTCTCAAAGTCAGATCCTTATTCTACGATCTACTAGGGGCAGAGCAGCCATGTACTTCCATTCTTTCAGTACTCCCAATTCATTCAGTACTATCCATCCATCCAGTACTATCCATTCCTCAGTACTATCCATTCTTCAGTACTATCCATTCTTCAGTCCTATCCATCCATTCAATACTCCCAATTCATCTCCTCCATTCAGGCCTCTTTACTGAAAACGTTACGACACGCGAACATCGTCTGTCTTCATGACATTTTTTATCAACATGATCAACTGACTTTTGTTTTTGAGTACATGGTGAGAGAAATAGAAATAGTTCGATATTTTTTGGATCAATTTTAGACCCTTGACCTGGCAAAGCACTTGGAGATTTACCCGGATGGTCTGGAAACATTTCAAATCAAGCTCTTACTGTATCAACTGTTGCGTGGATTAACGTTTTGCCATCAGAAGAAGATCTTGCACAGGTGGGAGCTGAACTCTTATCCAAGCTGGACTCTTATCCAAGCTGGACTCTTATCCAAGCTGGACTCTTATCCAAGCTGGATAAGAGTTATCTGGAGGATTGGCTGCCTGGGACTGCCAACTCAAGCCAGCCTTGTTCTAAACTGGTTAAGCAGGGCTAGTGCAAGTCCTAGTCTTGTCTGGTCTTGCCTGGTCTTGCCTGGTCTTGCCTGGCCTGTCCTAGATCTTGCCTGGCCTGTCCTGGTCTTATCAGAAAGCATTTACAAGCACTTGTTAGGTCACTGATCTCTGCCCGGTCACTGATCGACTAATCCTTAAACGAACTCCAGCTTTTCAGAGATCTCAAACCGCAAAACATTCTCCTCAACGAGAGAGGCGAGCTGAAATTGGCTGATTTCGGGCTTGCTCGAGCGAAAAGTGTTCCTAGTCGAACGTACTCCCATGAGGTGGTCACTTTATGGTATCGTCCACCGGATGTCCTGTTAGGCAGCACGAATTATTCGACCTCTTTGGACATGTGGTAAGTGTGGTGTAAGGTGTAAAGGGTTTGTCTATCCATAAAGTTATTCGCACTTGCTTAAGCATGGTATTGTAGTCCAGTCCAGTAATCCAGTAGTCCAGTCCAGTAGTCCAGCTAGGTCATCAGGATTCCCTGGTAGTTTAATAAACTGGTCATAGACCATGAGGTCGCTTTCAAGATTGGTCCTACTAATTGATAAGTGCTAATGGTCCTCAGAGGTCCTTGTGACAACTTGCTTGGTCAACTTGCTTGGTCCATTCCATTCCTTGTGACAACTTGCTTGGTCCATTCCATTCCTTGTGACAACTTGCTTGCTCTGATGCACACAATATTTTCTCGTCGCAACAGTCTTCAATACTGTAACGATTTCTCAGGCTTGTTGGCCTGAGACTCTCAGGCTTGACTCTACATTAACTCTAACTGCTAGAGGATAGAGTATAGCAGGTAGAGTATAGCAGGTAGAGTATAACAGTTAGAGTATATCAGTTAGAGCTTAACAGCTAGAGCATAGCAGCTAGAGTTGCTTTAGAGTCTAACGAGCCAGGGAAATAGTTACAGTACCCTTTAACACTGAATTTAACACTGAATTTCTTAAGGGGTGTCGGTTGTATCATGGCCGAGATGTGCACTGGGCGAGCGCTTTTTCCCGGTAGTCGAGATGTAGCCGATCAACTGCACACAATATTCTCGATTCGCGGCACACCCGATACAACGAGTTGGCCTCAGGTTCGGCATTTTATAGATTACCGGTTTACCAGCCATACCAGCCAAGCTTTTCCCCAGAATCATTTGCTACAGTTTCTGTGCCTTTCAGGTCCTCCAACTGCCCCACTACAATCCGGTCATCTATCCGCCGAAAGACGAGTTGACGTGGATAAAGGTTTGATACTGTATACCCTAGCTACCGTATTCTACAGTAACCTTGGTTATCGTATACCCTAGCTACCGTATTCTACAGTAACCTTGGTTATCGTATACCCTAGCTACCGTATTCTACAGTAACCTTGGTTATCGTATACCCTAGCTACCGTATTCTACAGTAACCTTGGTTATCGTATACCCTAGCTACCGTATTCTACAGTAAACCGTAACTACCGTATACCCTAAACATAGGAAAAAAATGGTCAAATTTACTCAAAACGGCTTAAAACTCGATTCTGCAGTTCCCCAGTAACCTCAAAAGCTTTCAGGTTCATTCCTCTCTTTTCCGACTCCACAACGGACTTGATTTGCTTTCCCTATTGTTACAGGTGAGTGCAGAGGAAAGGTCAGGCATTAGACAGTCTAATGCCTGGTCTAAAAGGGCCAGTCAGACCTGGACTGGCTTAGAGCTCAGCCTAGAGCTCAGCCTAGAGCTCGGCCTAGAGCTCGGCCTAGAGCTCAGCCTAGAGCTCAGCTGCAAGAACACTTTGCCGAGGGACTTGCAAGGACTCCTAGAGCTTGTAAAGGCCAGCAGGCTAGGCCAGTGTCTGACTCTATGTCTGTCTGACTCCTCGGACAGCTCTGGTTTTAACAGCGCTGGCTTCGATGTTCTAAAATGATCGGGTTCAAGCCTGGCTGCTGCCAGGATCGGCCGAAGACCAGCCTCGATTACAGTAGCTCTACCTCGACTACAGTAGCTCTACCTCGATTACAGTAGCTCAAAATTCCAGTTAAACCCCTCCGCCCGTGTCTCTGCCTCCCTCGCTCTTCTCCATCCATTCTTCTCCGCTTTACCCCCGTCAATTCATCTCCTTCAACCATCCCAATCGATTTTTGTCCTCCCGGAGCTGCAGGGATTGCGAAGATAACAGATTTCCCGATTGATTCCAAGAAAATTGGTCCGCAAGGACAATCAATAGGACAATCAATATTTTTCCCATTAACAATCTAACTTTGCCCATGAATTTCTTGGTCTACAGTTCTCCAATTGAAACAATTTTGGTAACATTGAATTTGTCACGTTTTCCTCTATTGATTGATACCAAAATCGCTTCAATTGAACAGTTGTACGCCAAGAAACTCAAGGTCAAAGTTTGCCGATGGCAAAAGGGGTGATGACCTATTGTACCTATTTGTTCTCTATTTGTTAGATGTACTAAACCTACAGTAATCCTGAAGTACGGTACTGCTAAAGAGCTACAGTACTGCTAAAGAGCTACAGTACTGCTAAAGAACTACAGTACTGCCCTGTAGCTATCCAGCACAAGAATCACCAAGCTTCAGGGTTTACCGTATTTCTTCGAATAGAAGACCGGGTAAAGAGTATCATCGCGTACTCCTGCGTAGCAGCCCTTTTTAAAATTTCTTTTCTGCATAAAAGCTTTCAATCAAGTGCTATACAGCTGGAAAATGGCTCAAAAATCTGTTAGCTCATGTGGTATTTTTGAGCCATTTTCCAGCCCTCTAGCACTTGATTGAAAGCTTTTATGCAGAAAAGAAATTTTAAAAAGGGCTGCTACGCAGGAGTACGCGATGATACACTTTACCCGGTCTTCTATTTGAACAAATACGGTATTCATATTCAATTTGTACATAGAATTTGATCGAATCTCGTGTCACAAAACGGGTCATCCTTTTTGTTCCGAATCACAATCACAATCAGCTTTCTATAATGTGCCAAAAATTTTCGTCTTTTCGTCTTTCCCTCATTTATATCATTTATTTTATGATAAATTTTGGAAAAACCTATTTTACTGCTTGCTTTTTATTTATTAAAACAATTAAACAAACAATAAACAACATACCGTAAATACTGTAATTGGACCCCGCCCTCATAACGATGGTGCGGAGTGTTGCGTAGTCTAGCTTTGAACGAGTTTTTCTCGACACTGGTTTATGCTACAATGAAACCAGGATTTAATGTGGTGCATTTGGACGAGTTTAGAATGAGACAATTCCATAAAACTGATAACAATAAGGAAATTGGCTATCTGATTGGATATGAAAACGATCCGAATGAATATACGAGAAATAAAGCATTCGACGAGTTTCATCCGCGACTTTTCGATAGGCCGAGAAAAGATCATTGTGTATTTTTATGCAAAAATTGTTTAATCTATGCCGAAGGCTCTTGTTTTAACGTCTAGATTTGATATTTGTATCATTTAATGTTTAAATTTCACTTTGAGCTCATTCTTTAGTGTACCAATTTTTTCATTTTTTTTATCTCATTTTGCAACCAAACTAATAAAATCTTTTATTGCAAAGTTTAAATATGAAAACATAATAATGAACCCAGATCGGCGAAGATCGTCTCAGCTCGCATGTCGAGCACATTGTCTTCATTGCTGATCGAAGCTTCACCGTCTGTCCCCAATTTCTCGACGTTGGCCGCGAGAAGATCGCTGAGTTTTGGAGCCTCGGCCGTCGGTTGCATCTTGATCACGGCCTAAATTTGAAAAGTTAATACGCGCTCAACTACTTACATACATTCTTGAACTTCTAAACGAAAGCTGATTGCTTTTACATAAATACGGGATAAAAATCTACTTAAAACCTCACCTGATATTTGGTAGGCTCAGGCAGAGCGCTGAGCACCACGTCGACGACCGTGCAAATGGTGATTTCTTGAACAACAATGGGATTCACTCCATCCTTCGACTTCCAGTATAATGTGAGACGTGGTGGCGCAGCATTTTCGTGGAATTCCGGGTCACGAGCCATATCGAGTCGCTAAACAGAAGCATTAAAAAGTAAAATCAACAAACTCACATTCACATAGACTCGCTTAACCACTCCATATTTGAAAACGAGAACATCAAATGAGGCATCGAGCACCGCGACAACCACTCCCTTTTCCTCCAAAGTTCCAACATGCTAAATAGAATGTTATAAAGATTAGATGCACTTCAACAAACCTTAACGAATAGACCAAAGAACGTGTCGGCACTCGCTTCAGAAACTGTCTTCGCAGCCGTCTTCTTGTCGTTGCAATGTCCGCAAATCTTGGCGATCTCCTTCACATCGGCCAAAGTTGGTGGCGGATATTTTCGTAGGATGGAAGAGCATCAACACAATCGCTCAAGACACTAGATGCGACTGACTAAGCCAAAAGTGACCCCTCTCAACCACTAAAGGACCAAACATATTATTGATTTCAGGAAGTTTTATCAGTAGCACTGTTTATGCATAGCACTTCTGTATCCTAGCTAAAGCAATAACACCAACAGCTTAGTGTTATCATACTATCGCACATAACACAACTAATGTTTCCAAGCAAGGCAAATTCAGTAGCTACCGGCTAAGCAAAAGCAGCCTAGTAAACGCGAACAAATTGGCGTAAACGTTTGACATAGATCTAGACTATCTATTCTTAATCAACTAGTAACGCATAGATGTCTCAACTCAACTCAAACACCCAAATTGCAAAGTCGCCAAAAAGTTTACCCGAAATGCGGTCAATTCGGCTTTTCGAGCCTCACGTTTATCGTTGAGATCCTCCTCGCGTAGATTCTTGGCCTTCAGCTTGGCCATCTCTAAAGAAAGAATATTAGAATTTTACGTGAAACAAAGAAAAAAGAGAAAGGTCAAAAAAACAGCAAGTTTTAGGGCAAGCACACACGCCACAAACACAGTTCATGTTTGAGGGTTCAAGCAAATATTCACACGTTCAAGGGTTAAAGCGTCCGAGTGCTTGAGAGTTGTGGTCATTCGCTTTTTATGAAAAAACACTAATAGTAAGTGATGTATGGTGTAATGGTGTGGAATTTGGAAAGTAAACGCCAACTTTGAGCAACCGAGGCCGATCCAACTCGGGTCCGCCGCCTGGGAACGAAAAAAATCCAATCAAGCTCTTTCTGGAATCATTCAAAAGCCTGAAGTCTCCTCTATTCTAAAGATGGAGCTTCTATTTTAAGCCTCCTCTTCGGGGGGGGGGCTTCAATTACAATATTTATGGTACTTATTTTACTACCTATAGCCTGGCGGAGAGGCCTGCTCCGTAGGTGCCCCCACCCCGATAATATTGGAATGGTAGTTTTTTTGGTAAAACTGTGCTTTTTGAGGTGCTAGCAACAGCGCCAAATTATTTGCGCCACATATCATTTGCACCAAATTTGGGGAGTGGGACAAATGCGACCTTTTTTTGCGCACCTGGTCCATTAACATACCCTTTTCGCGTTTTAAAAAAGCTAATATTAACAAAGCTCTGATATGTCAAAATTTGGAATCTAGGCTCTAAAATTACCCAGAAAAACAACTTTAGGAATAGAAATTTGTTAATATTAGCTTTTTTAAAACGCGAAAAATGGTGCGCTAATGGACCGGGTGCGCAAAAAGGTCGCATTTGTCTCGCATTCCCCAAATTTGTGCTTTCGACACACTTTCCTACCAACTCTGATTGTTTATTTTTTTACTACTTTTTCTCGTCGACGATGCCCGCTACTTTACCGCTGTATAGTGTAAATACTCTAATAGAACGCCAACCCCTCGTACAGTCGCGTAGTCCAACTTCTTTTTAGAAAATCATTTTTTTTTCTCAGCTCTTAGATTTTTCCCAACTACACTTTTTGTACCAAAAAGATGCTAGATTTCAAGGGCTATCATTTGACACCCAAGCGCACTGTAGCATAAAGCGCGAAGAATGAGACGTTGAAGTTAGACTATGCGACTGTACGCTCGTCATTATGGGGATGGCGTGCTATGATAGTATTTACGGTATGTATTCAAACGTGTTTTCTAATTGTGAAGCAGAAAACTGAAAAAAAGTTAGTCAGAAGTTGGGAAAAATTGATTTGTTACAGTGATTTTGCTAGCGCTTCTGCTTTTTTCGTTTTCCGTTTAAATTTTGGTAAATCCGTGATTACGTTTTAGTACCAAAATGCATTGAAAATTCACAAATTTTAGTCATTTTGTACATTTGCGTCAACTTTTGCTCACAAATTGCCAAATTTTACTCGAAACTAAAGTTTCTACTTGAAAACTTGCGCATTTTCTTGAAAGTCCTTGCATTTTGCTCAAGAATCGCTACATTTCCTTGAAATTGCACAAGTTTTTATTTTTTGTGCGAAAAACGCCAAAATTTAACGTTTTTGACTAGCTTTTTGCAAAATTCGTTAAAATCAAGCCATTACTCAAAATTAAATGTGTTAACAAAGGCGCCGCGTTTTTTTGCGCCAATTTCATTTGCGTCAAATTGCGATTATCGAAAATCACTATGACAGATCACTTTTCCCAACTTCTAACAAACTTTTTTTCAGTTTTCTGCTACACAAATTTAGTTATCACTGTTTTCAATTAGGAAACACATTTAAATACCTATACAGACCCCAGAAACCGTCGTTTTATGACCTGATTGTGCTTTTTTGCTCGCTATGTCAAGTTTATGCCATTTTCAAATCCGGTGAAGGCGTCAAAATAGCGAGCATCATCGACGAGAAACTAGTCAAAAATGAAAAATGATCAATCAGAGTTGGTAGGAAAGTGTGTTGAAAAGCGCAATTTAGCGCTTTTGCTAGCAGCTCCAAAATTAACCGTTTTTTGAGTAACAAACAAACAATCTTTACATAAACAAGCGTTTTCAATGTGTTTTTCGATAAACTTACTTCTTACTTCCGATTTCTAACGACTATATCTTTTATTTAGACAGTTTTGAAGCTTCGACTATCAACTGGAGAAAGAAATGGCTAGGCCTCTGGATTTTTCCGGTTTGCCAGCGAAGACGTCGGCTGGTTTCGACTCGGTAAGGACTTTTTTGATTGGATTTGGAAGGATAACTTCGAGGTTTAATGTCAGTGGGGAAATTCATCAAATCTATAAGGATTTGAGTTAAATTTGTTAGTGTTTTGTATGGTTAAAGCTCTAGAAGCTTGGAAAATTTAATCCAGTGGTTGTTAAATGACTCATTGAGCCCGTACAGTATTACTAGTACTATTTAAACGAAGCTTGGGGAAGTTTAACTAGTAATGGATAAACGGATACCTAGTTTAGCTCGTGGGTTGAAGTTTGTAAAAGTTTAGACAAGATCACTTATTGTAGCTTAAATTTGCAGACTAATTAGAGTTAGTAGATTTATAGAATAAATATCAATGTAAACTAATAATCTTGTTTTTAGGTGAATTACGGAGTCGCCGTGCAAGGATTGAGTGATGAGCAATTGGACCTGCTGAACAAGTGTCGCCATGATGGGTCGGCTTTCGGAGAGCCCCCAACAACACCGGTCAGTTTAATGGGCATTTGGCTCAATTCAATCGACTCCGATAAACTTTTTTATTTAGAAACTGCGCACTGGCCACATAACGGTTGAGGAGCTGATTGGAGGAAAGGGGAACGACGCGTCCAACATCCCAATCATGGAGCGCCTGAAGATCTCGAGACCCGTGATGCGCAAGGCAGTCTTCGATGCAGCTGGTGAACACGTTCCACTTGTACCCGGATTTCCGATTCCAATGAGTGGGTTCATTTTAAACACGGTTCTAGGTTGTATTTAGGAACTCAAAATCGTGGTGATATGGGTTTGACGTCGACGATGTTCCGCCCGGAGCTTTTCAAGACGACAATGGAGGCCTACGGTTCTGCTAATCAAAAACAACAGCAAAGTGGATCGGATGTGACGTGTATGTTACGTAAGTGATTACTATGAAAGCAATATTCTATCTATCATTTAGATCTCTTCAAGGGAGTCTCCTCGGCGATGAACAAGGGGAAGAGGAAATTTCGACTACGGTGCTGCCGACTACACCTACTCCCCCGAGCCGGACTTGATCCCATGGGAAAGCCCCGAGTACAACAGGATGTCAATGCGCAACGAGCGATCAAAACCAAAGTTTCCACATTCAACGCAGAAAGGTAGTGAGCATTAGTCGATATGGGGCCCCTACCTGGCACTAGCGATCTATTCCTTTAAAAGTTCTCGAGATTAACCTATTCTAAACTTTGAACTTAATTTTGTCCTTGTGATACATCTCAAAACAATGATTTTCTGGCGAATACTCTGTATTCCCTCTTTGATAGCAAAATGTCATGTTTTTCATTTATCAGCAAGCTCTAAAAATTGCTCCCCGTCTTGGCCGACATCTGCTGTAGTTTATAGTGTTGCCAGATGTTTGATAACATGGCATAAGCATTTCCTTTTGCGCAATGTTTCGTAGATTACTTTAGCTTATTTATTTCAAAACATTGCCACCATCCTAACTTGTATCAATTCCTTTGATTTAGTTTCTCAAATGCGTTCCAATGGACCTCATCGCGGCGGATATGGCGGTCAACACGCGAATCGGTACGAAGCTCACTTCAAATTATTAACATTTTCTTATTTAGTGGCACTTCATCAAATAATGCCTTTGAATCTCATTCGGGAACGAATCAAGGACAGAATCAGAAGGCAAAAAAGCCTTATTTCATGCCGTACTTTTACCCGGACGATGTCAAGCGTGGACTCGGCGATCCACAATCAAAACTCGTTGAGGTACACCTACTTTCTTATATTGTTAATGCTTCTTTTTAGGGTGTGCTTCGTGTGAATCAAAGAAATTACGAGGAAAGTTACATTGACAACCCGGAGGGAGATTTGGACTTGCTGATTTTGGGCGTTCATGATCGAAACCGTGGTAAGTTTCATTTGTTGTTTTTTCTCACGATTTGTTGCTAATACGATATTTTTAGCCCTGCATGGTGATCTCGTTGTTGTGCGAATAAAAGAACGCGAGAACTGGGTTGTTCTTGAGGGACCGTATAAGGCTTGGCGCGAAAGTCATCAATCAAAAGAAGCAAATAAAGAAGAGAAGAAAATTGTTGAGCAGAATGAGGTTCGCCTATTGTTGTCGTTCCGTTTCATGTCTTGTTCAGTCCTCAATGTTTAATGTTACTGGTTTGTCCGTCTCCGCCTCAAGTCTTACTGAGCCTGTACCAATTAGCCAATCAATGTGCTATTCGCGCACGAATCTCATACGTGTCGCTGTTCAGGCAATTCTTTTTGAATCTTTGACTTTTATTTGTCAATTTTAGATGGAAATGGCTACACCAAAGCCGACTGACACACAAAAGACGAGGCTTGCACTAAAACCAGATATTCAAGTGAGTGCAAAGGTTCTTAAACATGTAATTTGTATCTTTTTAGACAATGCTGGCCAATCTTGGGATCAACAAGAGTGATGATGTGGATTCGGATCCGACTTCGCTTCGCCGCCTCTCCTCGTCGCAACCTGTCGTCAAGAAGTCACCAAATGGAACCGGCTCACAGAATAAACGCTCATCGATGAGGACACTCGCTGATTTGCCGGAGGATTCAAAGATTGTTCCCGATTCGTGCCTACAAAAGACTGCTGAGGTATAGTTGAAGTATTTTTTTACTTGTTTTGCTTAGGTGGTTTTCATTGCTCAACAGAAGAACTGCCGAACCGCTATGGGACAATTGAAGGTAATGGCCGATGGGAATCGCAACTGGGCTCTTCAGCCCGACCGATCCGCGAATGCCTAGGATGATGCTGCCGGTAAATTAAACTTTAAGCACGATTTAAAGTTTTGAATCGTGACGCCATTTAAAGTTGTTGTTTAGGCTGACCAACTTCCGGCGAATTTCTTTGAGCGACCCCAGGATTATCAGAAGTTCCTCTTTGTTGCAAAAATGGTCGATTGGGCTTCTACTGCACAATTGCTCGCGGAAAGCTTGAGCGACATTTGGGACTTGCTGGTATTTTGTGTTTTCCTTACCTTTTATCTAATATATTTTCTCTAGGTGATATTGACACCGAGACGGAGGGTTTGCTGCTTTCAAATAACATTGACACAAAGGGAGTTCTCACCGCTCGCACTCTCAAGTCTTCCAATTACTGAATCAAGTCAATGGCACATTGAGGAGGTGGAACGTGTTTGGATTCCATTCTTAACTTCAACTTTAGAAAGAGTTCAAGTACCGTGTCGATTTGCGAGATGAGTTGATTTTCACGATAGACCCTGTGACGGCCCGAGATCTCGATGATGCTCTACACATAAAGCCTTGCGCTGACATTGACGGAAAAGGAACGCATGGATGGGAGGTATCTTGAATTTTATTATTGCAAGAAATTTATTGTAACCCCATTTTTTAGATTGGCGTACACATCGCAGATGTGACTCACTTCTTGCTCGAAAATAGTGAACTGGACAACTGGGCTCGTGAAAGAGCGACATCAACTTACTTGGTGCACAAAGTATAGTTTAATTCAATGTAGACTCATTGTAACAAGATTTTTAGGTGATCCCAATGCTTCCGCGATTACTATGTGAAGAGCTATGCTCGTTGAACTCTGGTGTGGATCGGTTGTGCTTCTCGGTGGTCTGGAAAATGAGTGAGGAAGGAGAGGTAGAGTATGTGAAAAATTTCAAGAATCCCTTGCTTCAGATTTTTGACGAGAAGTTTACCCGAACGATCATCAGAAGTCGCTGCAAGTTGGCTTATGAGCACGCGCAAGAGATGCTCGAGAATCCGGACAAGGAATTCGCCCCAGACGAACTACCACCAATCTCTGATGGATGCACTTCAACGGAAATCTCTACAAAGGTATAACTTAAAAATGATTCATTAAAGTACTCATTCAGGTCCAACTTTTTTGTGGAATATGGCAAAGAAGATTAGGACAAAGCGGCAAGATAACGGAGGTATAGGAAAATTTGCATTGATTTAAATGAGTAGTTTTAGCTCTGCGCCTTGATCAACCAAAGTTGAAGTTCGCCCTTGATCCAAATACAAACATGCCAACCGCTGTAGGAGTCTATGTGCAAAGGGTAAACTTGATTATTGTTTAGCTTCTCACTTTAATGATTTCAGGATGCCAATCGGCTTGTCGAGGAGTACATGCTTTGGCGAACATGCGAGTGGCTAAGAAGATCGAGGAGACTTTCCGGAAACATCCGTCCTTCGACGACACCCTCCTCCAAAAGCAAAAGTGCTGGCTGAAGCGGTACGACTTGATGGTTTTGTTTCTAAAGTATTCAAGTTTTAGGTTGAACTTTGTGAGAAGATTGGTTTCCCGATCACTGCCACCACGTCTAAATTGCTTTCCCAGGGACTGCGACGCTTTGAAGGGAAAAACGAGGTTTCTTGAGTCGAACGGTCGGTTCTAGCATTTTGTTAAGGTTCAAAGTGCTATCAACCAAGTGCTCTCAATGATGATGATGCGCCCGATGCAACTCGCCCAATATTTCTGCACCGGTGCCGTGAAATCGCAAAGTGATTACTATCACTACGCTCTGGCTACACCATTGTAAGCAATTTACAATACTATAAACTTTAACGATTTGTTTTTAGTTACACGCATTTCACCTCGCCAATTCGTCGATATCCGGATGTGATGGTGCATCGTTTGTTGTCGGCTGCTTGTGGCTACACTCCGCCACCAACTTTGGCCGATGTGAAGGAGATCGCCAAGATTTGCGGACATTGCAACGACAAGAAGACGGCTGCGAAGACAGTTTCTGAAGCGAGTGCCGACACGTTCTTTGGTCTATTCGTTAAGGTTTGTTGAAGTGCATCTAATCTTTATAACATTCTATTTAGCATGTTGGAACTTTGGAGGAAAAGGGAGTGCGTTGTCGCGGTGCCTCGATGCCTCATTTGAATGTTTCTCGTTTTCAAATATGGAGTGGTTAAGCTAGTCTATGTGAGATGTGAGTTTCAGTGGATTTTACTTTTTAATGCTTCTGTTTAGCGACCTCGCGATGCCTAAACGTGACCAGGTCCACGAAAATGCTGCGCCACCACGTCCCACATTATACTGGAAGTCCAAGGATGGAGTGAATCCCATTGTTGTTGCACCAAAGTCACCATTTGCACGGTCGTCGACGTGGTGCTCAGCGCTCTCCCTGAGCCCACCAGGCCATCAGGCGATCTTTGGGTAGATTCCTTATCCTGTATTTATGTAAAAGCAATCAGCTTTCGTTTAGTGGTGTTCCAAGAACCTATAAGTGAAGTTGAGCGCGTATCAACTTTTCCACATTTAGGCCGTGATCAAGATG